AAAAGGCCTTTAGAAGTTATTTAATAAAGCCTCCCTTTCAATACACAGTCCTTACTTATAGTATCCCTGCCAGCCAGTCTTCTGGTCTCTAGCTTGAGTACCTCTAGTTACAAAGGGATCAATGGAAGGAAGGAAGGAAGGGAGGGAGGGAGGATAGAAGGAAGGGAGGAAGGAAGGAAGGAAAGAAGGAAGGAAGGAGGGAAGGAAGAAAAGAAGGGAGAGAGGAAGGAAGGAAGGAAGGAAGGAAGGAAGGAAGGAAGGAAAGAAGAAAATTAACATTTAGATTACCCCTCCTACATGCCAGGCACAGTGCAAAGCAATTTATAAATATTATCTCATTTGATCCTCACAAAATCCTGCAAAGTAGGTACAGTTTATATACTCATTTTACAATTGGGGAAATTGAGGCAAGCAGACATTAAGTGACTTGTCCAGGGTCATACAGCTGTTAAGTGTCTGAGGCTGCATTTGAACTCGGGTCTTCCTTACTCCAGGCCCAGTGCTCTATCTACTGTGCCAACTAGTTGCCTCTACTTCAACAAAACAACCTATCTATCCATTGCTAGAAAGCTCATTTTTTTGTTGAGTCTAAATTTGCCTCCCTTTTTAACTCATGTGTTCATTTGCTTTGGGGATTTCATGTCAAGGACCTATGATTTCATTGGTGTGGACGCTCTGCTCCAATTATGTAAATAGCAACCCATCCACACCTTAGTAGCTGGTCTTGGTGAGTTATTGTGACTGGAAAAAAAAAAACAAACAAACAAACCCATGAACTGGTGCTCAACCTTCTGATGCTGAGTGTCCCTGCAATTATCAAGACTGAGCCGCTGGTGACAGACACAAGCTCAACACCGGCTCAATCCTCAAAACCATTTGGCAAGGTCGGACTTGCCAGAGCTTGGGCAGCTGCTGACACAGCCTCTAGTGAGCCAGGCTCAATTCCAAGCCCCAGTGAGGCAGTCAGTGGATCCGGGATCTGGGATCCAAAAGTTTATCCATAGCCACTTTGACTCAGTGAAGAAATGATTCTTTTTCTTACTCTTGGTGGGGACTGTGTGACTTTAGGTTGCTCTACGTGTAGGATTAAGGAATTAGAGAATCTTAGAGCTGGAAGAGACCTTCCAACCTTGACTGGGCATCTATCCCAACGTATCTGTATCTAAATGGGAAGCCCCTCTACCTATACACTATGCCTAACAAGTGGTCATTCTCCAGGGGTAGGGAGCCCACCACCTTCCAAAGAAGTCCATTACACTTCTGGATAGTTTTTCTTGTTAGGAAATTTCCCTCTTATGTTAAGGGTTCTTAACCAAGGGACCATGATAAATTTCAGGGAGTCCATGAGCTTGAATGGGAAAAAAAATAACATCTTTCTTTTCACTAATTCTAACTGAAAGTTATTTAACTAGCTTCTAACTGAAATTTAGCATTTCAATTGATTTTGATTTTTTTAAAAGAAACATGATTCTAAAAAGGGTTTCCAAAGGGGTCCAGTACACAAGGTTGAGAATACTTGCTTTACGTCAATCTAAACCTTCCTTTCTGCAACTTATCCATTTACCTCCTAATTTAGTCCTCTGGGGCCAAGCAGAACGATCTGCCTTCTGATCTACTCCACCATCTTCCCAGAATCCTCTCCCCCAATAGTCTCCTAACAGGTTTCCCCATATCTACTCTTCTCCCTTTTCCCAAATCATAAAGAAGTATGATGTAGAAGAAACAGTGCTGAATTTGGAGTCAGACAGTATTGGTTTGAAATCCAGGTTTGTTACATATGTATCTTTGAATAAATCACTTAACTTGAGACTCAGTTTCCTCCTCTGTAAAGCTAAAACCAAATAAATAACACCCTCTTCCATCCTCCTACCATCTGTGTGAGCTTGTCCCATTGAAATAGACAGGATGCTTCAATAAAATAGAACTTTTCCAAATGGGGTAGAGTTGATCAGAACTCTTTCTTCCTGTCCCCATTTCCACCTTTTATTATATGTAGAGAAAAGTGTGATCATTTATCAGAATGTGAAGGAAGAGAACACTTCCACCAGGAGGGGTCAGGGCAGACCTTGTGAAGGAGCTGTATCCTCGGAAGCTGACCCTTGAAGGAAGATAAGAATTTTGACAGGCAGAGATAAGGAGGGAGGGAGTGCCTTCTCAACTTAGGACGTGGTACATCCCTGTGCATTATAGGAACACATTTTGTAGAGGAATAGGGTAAGATGAGGTTAGAAATGTAAGGTAGTAATTGATAAATGGTTAAAGGATATGAACAGGCAGTTTTTAGATGAAGAAATTAAAGCTATCTATAGTCATATGAAAAAATGCTCTAAATCACTATTGATTAGAGAAATATAAATTAAAACAACTCTGAGGTACCACCTCAGATTGGCTAATATGACAAAAAAAGAAAATGATAATTGTTGGAGAAGATATGGGAAAATTGGAAAACTAATGCACTCATTGTTGGTGGGATTGTGAACTGATCCAACCATTCTGGAGAAGAATTTGGAACTGTGCCCAAAGGGCTACAAAACCATGCATACCCTTGACCTAGCAATACCACTACTAGGTCTATATCCCAAAGAGATCATAAAAAAGGGAAAAGGATCCACATGGACAAAAATATTTATAGCAGCTCTTTTTGTGGTGGCCAAGAACTGGAAATTGAAGGGATGCCCATCCACTGGGGAATGACTGAACAAGTTGTGCTATATGAATGTAATGGTATACCATTGTTCTATAAAAAATGATGAACAGGAAGATTTCAGAAAAACTTGGAAAGACTTATACGAACTGATGCTGAGTGAACAACACTGTGCAATAACCAACTCTGATAGACTTAGCTATTCTCACCAATACAATGATCTAAGACAATTCCAAAAGACTCAAGCTGAAATATGCTGTCTACATGCAGAGAAAGAACTATGGAGTATGAATGCAGATCAAAGCACACTATTTTCCCTTTTTTTTCTCATTCTCAGGGTTTTTCCCTCTTGTTCTGATTCTTCTTTCACAACATGACTGATGTGGAAATATGTTTAATATGATTGGACATATATAGCCTATATCAGATTGCATGCCATCTTGGGGAGGGGAAAAATGGAAAGAGGGAGAGAGAAAAAAATTTGGAATTCAAAAATCTTATAAAAGTAAATATTGAAAATTATATTTACATGCAACTAGAAAAAAATAAAATAGTATTAAGGAAAAGAAATGTAAGATAGTGCCAGATTGCAGAAGGCCTTGAGTGCCAGACTGAAGAGTAAATAATAGGAAGGCATTGTAGAGTTTTGAGCAGAAGAAAGGGCCATGATAGGTCTGTGTCTGGCAGTGTATGAAAAAAAGACTGGCAGTAAGTGAAAGATGAATTGAAGAGGGACAGAGAAGAGGGGTTCCAAGTGACCTACTTACAAAGGGGCTTTCAGAAACAGGTAACTGGAGAGGGTCTACACGTGATCAGGCTTGGGGTCTGGGCCCCCACTGGCCAGGACGGGAAAAGGCACTTCAGAAGCACATCAGCCTGTAGCGCTAGTCCCCAGAATACGGAGAAATAATGGTTAACAGCTCCATGCTCTAATAACCTGTCATTATAACTTTCATCACCAGTCCATTCATCACCTACTAAAGCGTGTGTACATTTTATTAAAATGCCCTCTATAATGAATATCAATAACATAATAATGATTTGCCTTGGCTGTCTGCCTTCTGGCTGGCTGCCTAGCCACTTCCAGGCAGCTGGCCATGGCAAGGCCTGAGCTTGTCTCCTGCAACCATTCTCTGAACACCCTTAGAGGAAATTCTCCCCCCCCCCCCCCACCTTGACTCAGACCAGCTCCCAATTCAGTCCCTTTCCCTCTGGGGCCCTTGAGACCAGCCAGCAAGGCTAGTCTTCTAGCCTGCCCTTAAGGGATAACAAGACTATGGTGTTCCCAGCTCATTCTGCCTAGTGCCAAAGCCTAGCGATCAATCAACAAGCATTAATTAGCTATCAGCTATGTGCCAAGCTCTGTGCTAAGGGCCACTGGAGTTAGATACAGAGACTTTACGCATGGACACATTTAAGTATCTACCTAATGTATAGAGAATGAGAAAAAAAATCATCTGTGAAGGCAGAGCCCTCGCAGCTGGGGAGAAGGTTGGATTTCAAGACAGGTCCTTAATAACTTATCAGGCATCATAGAATGTGAGGCATGTCTGGGACCTTAAAGATTATGCAGCCCAACCCCCTTCCCGCTTTACAGGGAAGAAGGCTGAGGCTCACAGGAAGGGATTTGCCCAACATCAGGTCAGCATAAGGTTAAAGGATGAATTGGGTTTTTTCCAAGAGGGTGGTCTGGATCTGTTATTTTCATTTGTGTCCTGAATTCCAGGTGAAGCATTTCTCTACAGGAATGCACATCAGCAACTGTTCTGCCACTCGGTGGGGCACTGAGAGAGTGAGAGATTTTCCAGGGGCCATACATCCAGTAGGTGTCAGCAATGGAACTTGAAACCCACCGATGTCCTCTCCCCACTTCTCCCTTCCTGACTCCAAGACAAACTTTCCATCTCCACACTGCCTCTTATGAAAGGCCACAGGACAATAGATTTTTGATTAGAAGAGATCCTGGAAGGCACCTAGTCTGACTACATCATTTTACAAATGAGGAAACTGAGGCCCAAAGAGATTGAGTGACAGGATTGGAACCAAATCCAACGTTTTTTCCACTCTACCACTATTATCCTCTAACCCATCCTCTACTCCTACCCTTATGCTAGAGGGGAGAAGGAGGGTGGGGAGTGTCTAGTGCTGGATTACACTGATTAATTATAAAACATAAAGATGCTCATTTGAACCAGGTCAAAGTAGTGCCATAGAAACAAAGCCATGCCATTTGAGGCTGTGGAGGATAGGCAGCTGGGAGGCTTGGCTTAACATGTGGGTGAATTCCAAAGGATACATCTGCCTAACCTTTTCTTGGATGGGCATCCCCTTTCCCTATGCCGAGACCAGCACTTACCATCCCCAAATGGCCCAAGAGCCAGTTCCTCCGGGGAGGTTGAGGGAAGCATCGTAATCGTTGGCAGGTGATGTGAAATTGGTGGCATGCCTGGAAGACCTTCACGAGGAGGCGGAAGAAGATGAAAAGCAGGGATAGGAGCAGTGCAGAGACGACATAGGTGCGGAAGGAGGTCTTCTCAAGCCTCAGCACCCTCAGTACTTGATCCGTGATGGGCAACATCCTGGAAGAGAGATGCATGCAAGCACAAGGGGTGCACAGAATTAATTAGCAGGCATGAACATTAGGGAAAGCCAGCTTTGTGATCCAGCCTAAACAAGAAGCGGGCTCAGAGATCTCCAGAGTTCCCTTCCCTCCCCGCCCTCCCCACCAAAGAGCATTGAACAATCAATCTAGAGCACATTCCCAATGGCTCCCCAGGGCATACAGAGCTCTCTCCCTCCAGAAATTAGTTTGTAATTACTTCAAGGAAGCCTGGCATAGAAGCCAGAGAGCCAGAAAGACCTGGCTTAATGTCTCCCCTTTGACACACACTGACTGTGTGACCCTGGCCAAGTTAATTAACTTCTCAGGGCTCCAGGCACTTATTTAAGACTCTACACAGAGAAAATACTGCCCTGTATTGGTAGGGATGGTTTCCTCACCTGGGAGTTCCCCAGGCCAATAGTTCTCCAAGTGTGGTCTAGGGACCCTTGAGGTTCCTGAGACCCTTTCAGGTAGGGTCCACAAGGTCAAGACTATTTTAATAATAATCCTAAGACATTTTGATTTCTAATATGGTAAATGTCAATAGATAAAACTTGAATAATCAAAAATTCTTTGGAAGGTCCTTAATAGTTTTTAAAAGTATATAGGGATTCTGAGACCAAAAAGACTGATGACCGCTGCCCCAGACCAACGAAATCACAGATCCAGTCCCAAAATCGAGTCCCTGCATCCCCTAGATTTTGTATTTACTTGTCTGGGTACTTTTTGTATCTTCTTCAAATCCCTCCTAGCAGACTTAAAGCTCTTCATGTCCCCAGAACCTAGTACAATACCCTGCCTATAACAGGCCTTTAATAGATGTTTGTTGAATTTCATTTCATTGAGATGACCCGGACTCCTTAGTTTGGTGTTTTAGGCTCCCCAAATTCTGGTCCCCACCTACCTCTCCACTTTTAGCTCCTACTACTCTACAGTATGAACCTGACAGTCTAGCCTCTGGACTGCTGCCTAGCCACATCCTGGCAGCTGGCCAGGCCCAGGCTCCTACAGACCTGCCCCTTGAGCCCCAAACTTCTCTGGGGCCCTGGGAGGGCAACCAGCATGGCTAATCCTGAACTTAAGATGCTTCAAGTCCTGTGAGATATGGAGATATCATGGTGTTGCCATGTGTGAACAATCCATCATCTCCTGCTACCCCTACCACTGAACCTATCCTCACTCCCACTCTCTGACCCCCAAATATCTTTCCCCCATAAAAGTTTGGTCCATCCTTCGAAGAGCAGATGCAGTCCCACCTCCTTCACTAATTCTCCTCCCTAACAAGAAGCGTGACTTATTTCTTTGGAATTCTCAGAGCCTTTATTTTCTCTATCATGCACTGGCCACAGAAACCAATAAAACTGACAAGTTATGGATGGCACTTAAAGGTTTTACAAATATTGGCATCACTATTTCACTCGATCCTTAACAGCAACCTTTAAGGAGGTAGATATAAAACTATTATCCCTATCTTACAAATGAAAAACCAGCAGTTCAGAGAAGATAAGTGACTTGTCCATGGTCAAGCAGCTAGTTAAGTGCACTAATGCTGATGCCTTCCCTCGTTGATTATCTCCAGTTGACCTGTATATGGCTCTTTTGTGTGTAGCTGTTTGCATGTCATCTCCCCCATTAGACTGGGAGCTCCCTAAGAGTAGAGATTAAGTTTTGCCTTTATTCATATCCCTACTGCCTGGCACATAGTTGGTGCTTAATAAATTTTTATTGACTGACTGAACCCAGGTCTCTCCTGACTTCAAGTTCAATGTCCTTTGTAGTGTGGTGAAGAGGCTCTGGCATTAGAGGAAGTGGGTTCAAATACCACCCATGACACTTACTACCTGTATGGCCAGGGCAAGTCACATGACCTCCATGGGCCTCAGTTTCCTCATCTATAAAATAAAGAGGTTGGGCTAGAATGACCTTTGATCAATTCCATTTCTACATCTATAATAATGATGATTATCACCACTACTGAGATTTCTAATTACCAGGGTTGTAATTAGGGCAGGGCAACCCCACCTGCTCCCTACCCTGAAAGAGCATTTGCAATTCCTTTTTTTTTCTCTCCTTTTTTTGGCTAGGCAATCGGGTTAAGTGACTTGCCCAAGGTCACACAGCTAGTAAGTGTTATGTGTCTGAGGTTGGATTTGAACTCAAGTCCTCCTGAATCCAGGGCCAGTGCTGTATCCACTATGCCACCTAGCTGCCCCCTATAGCATTTGCAATTCTTGAAGACCTGGAATCAACTGAACTTAGCACCTGCTTAGCAAGAATAATTAGTTAAAATAGAATACTAGACCACATCCTATTTCCTTTCTTTTTCCAGGCAGTTGGGGTTAAGTGACTTGCCCAGGGGTCACATAGCTAATAAATATCTGAGGGTAGGTTTGAACTCAGGTCCTCCTGACTCCAGGCAGGATGCTCTACCCACTGCCCCACCTAGCTGCCCCAGTGTACTTTCTTTCTCAAAACCACAGGCACTCCCTCAGCTCAATTGTTCCAGGTACAAAGTGGCTAGTTATGATTCTGCTATTCAGAATTGAGTGTTCCGATCCATAAGACTGCAAACTCCCTTCCAGTACCTAGAATGCACACGCACATACACAAATACACACACACACACACACACACACATACACAAACACAGTATCAATTTGTTCTCTCCTATTTTGCGTGCATCAGCATCATCTTTCCAACCAGACTGAGCAGGGATTGAATTGTAGGGTGCCCTGATATCCCTCTCAGTAGCAACCACAGGGCTGATTTAATAGGAAAAGGCTGGACGCAAGGACCCCTGGGCCTGCCACTAACCAACTGTGCTACCTCAGGCAAAGTCCCTTCCCCTCTCAGGGCCTGAGTTTTGTCTCCTGTAAAATGAAGTTGAATTAGATGGTTTTTCTGATCTCTTCATTTGAGGATTCTTCATGCTTAAGAGGCAACAGAGGACCTGGGCTCAAACACACTGGGCAAAGCACAACCCTGTTGGGCCTTAGTTTCTTGGGTCTTTAAAATGAGATGTGACTATAATAGATGGCCTCTGAGGCCTCTTCCTACTCAAAATAAACAGTGGAAACCCAGTCATCAAAGGACCCAAGTTCAAGTCCCACCTCTGACATTCTCTATCTGTACAACGTTGGGCAAGTCCCACAACTTCTCTGGGACAATGCTTTCTCTCTTGCGAAATGAAAAGATTGGCCTGCATGGCCTCTGAGGTTCCTGCCAGCCCTAAATCTCCGATGCTATCATCATGTCAGCCTCCCTCTCATTTCAAATGACTCCCAGGCAATGATTCTTGGGGATCAGAGCTTTGGAAAAGAGAATTGGTCAGGGCAGTTCTACAGAATCAGTTAATCCATCTAGAAGAATAACCTTTACTGTGACCCTCAATAACAACTCAAACCCACTGGCTACACTGGGTTAGATAGATAGTGTGAATTCAGTGGAATGGGCCCACAGGACAGACGCATCTATGACTAAATAAGCAGATCGAATAAACAATATATATCTAGGCAATAATACAATGCCCTTTGCATACTGAATATGGAGCACGTTGGCCCACCTCCAAAAGGACAGACTGTCAATTTTTCCAGGAGTGGAAAGAACACAAAAGAAATCACACGCTCTCAGGAGTCATCTTCCTACCCCTACTTTGTGACCAATAGCATCATTGACCCACAGGGGCTAAGAACACACTCTGGAGTGGGAAACCCAGCCCCAGCTAACTTGCACTGTGCTGTAGTGGATGGAGTGTTGAAACTCAGAGTTAGGAAAACCTGGATTCAAATTTCACCTCTGACTTTTACTGGATAAGTGACCTAAGGGTAAGTCATTTAATCGTTCTGAGGTTCAATTTCCTCATCTGTAAAATGGGCAAAATAATACCAGAAATGCATACCTCACAGGGTTTTTGTGAGCACCAGATGTATGTAAGGTACTCTGCAAACTTGAAAGTTTTTATCTTGTGGGAGTCAATTAACATCCTTTCTTAAGCCCAGGTGGTGTGAACAGAACTGATCTCAATGCCTTGGGTGAGAGCTAACCAAGAGACCTCCATAGATACACAGGCAGTGTGGTGTAGTGGTAAGTGTGCTAGCTGTAGGGTCAAAGCTCAAGATTCAAATGCTAGTTCTCCCACTTATTAGCCATATGAGGGAGAGTCATTTTTGACCTCCCTCAACCTCAGTTTCCTCACCTGTAAAATGAAAAGTTTGGACTAAATTGGTTCTTAAACTTTGGACTATATGGACCACTTGAAGGGATTGTTTCATTCTTTGTTTTGTATTCCCCAACCCCTAATACAGTGTCTGGTACATAGTAGGTGCTTATTACATGCTTATTAGTTGACTGAAGCTATTTCATGGACCCCCACAGAAGCATGAGATCACACATCTAGTGGTGGAAAGGGTGTCAGTGGTCTCACCACTACACTATACTGCCTCATCATGCTTCTTATTGTTTGATTGACTTTGGGCAAGTCACCTAACCTCTTACTGCCTCTATAAGACTACAGTTTGAAGGAAATTTACACATCCTTAGTTTCAGACACTAAAAAAACTCAGGACTAGATGAAAAAGTTTAAAAATTCAGTCCAATGTTCTAAGCCTACCAAGATCTCCCTCCCACCCAGGAGTTCTTAACCTAGGGTCTGGGAATCTGGTTCTTTTTTAATTTTTTAATTTTTTAAAATATTTTGATAAATATAAGAATTAGTCCCCTATGCTTTTTGAAATCAACTCAGCAAAAATCGCACACTTAGTTAACGATTGCCAGTTCACAAAGAACTTTCTTTGCAATAACCCTGTGAGGTATCTCTACCTCACAAGTTTAAAGCATATTATACACATTCTACAGATGACAGAAGGAAGATACTCCCAGAGTACCCATGCATGGGATTCAAGTTGGGGGAAAAAACAAAAGTTTGCAAGACAATGCTACAGGATTCATCTTAATGGCATCAATAAAACAATGAACCAG